GCATTCCAGTGGCCAATGGGACAGCCCCTAAGTGCCCGCCATTAAAAAAGTAATAATAGTAACTCTTGACTACACGACCTAATTTTGATTGTAAGAAATTTTCCAGCAGGGTCATTTTATGTCTGACGAAAAACTTATTTTATGTCTGACTTGTTTGAAAACATCACACTCTCTTAACCCATTCATGCCCAAGTTTCAATTTATCAGTAATATTTAAATACGTCAAGCACAATAATTTTTTTTCCTTCAAATTACTAAAATATGCTGTCATACACAGGATGAACTTTAAACAAAATTCACGCCTATCGCTAAAATCACCGAACTTGAATAATTGAACCACTATATACTGGAAGAGTACTATGCCCAGTTAACCAAGAAAGAAACCACAGAATAACTTTTGTTCCAATGATCAGATTTTCACGTACAGAGCATCATTCGTAATGGTTTTAAATAATGAACTCAATGTGCTAATCAATTAGTGCCAAATATTAAATTGCTAAATCAGACACAAAAATGACCTTTCTTTGAAGAAATAATTTTCTTTCAATACTTTAAGATTTTCGATTATCAAAATATAGGGAATAGCCGCAATCAGGAAAAAAATGATACAAATAGTTCAGTTAGGACCACGGTCGAAAGTTTAGGTCCAGTTTACCTTTCATCACTATAAAAATGTAAATGTATCCGGGCAAACTATAGAACTTTTGAAGTGTGAAACCAATATATATTCCATTACAAGTTGAAGTAAACCATAAAATTCTTCATGGTTAGTACAATGATAGTGTTACTACAACTCTCAATCTTTCTACCATTATGGATAATTTAGGTCACTACTGTGTTTGGTGCGGGCTGGAATCAGTAAACGCATCAACAAGCTATCTATTGGGATTCAAACCTCAACCTCTTGACCCTTACCTAACCTAAGTTAAAATTTGTACAAATACAATGAACAAATTGCATTCAATTCATGTGTTACATTTTAGAAAATTTTAGACTCGTTTTTAATTAAACTAGATTTTTTAAACTGGTTTATGATAATTAATTTGAAATCTCGAATTACTTGAAACAGGTTATAACAATCATTCTACCGATTTCTGTAAAACTAATTTTTTCTACATAAAATAAACTTCAATTCAAAATAAGTTTCTATATTTTTTATTTCATAAAAAATTTAGAAACTTTCCAGATGCTTAGTCCAAAATGTTGCCTTTTAGCTAATGGCTGCCATTTTTCGAATTCTTATTCAAAAATAAATTGAAAGGATGTTATTGAAGATGTAATTTTTTTTTGTTTGTTTCTTTTGGATCATTAATACACTAGCAATAATCATGTAATCATGAATCAGTCAAACGCATTTTTGTTGTAAAGTTTCAGGCAAAAGATTTTAGTAGTTGTTGTTAATTTACGTCACACTAGAGCTGCACAATGGGCTATTGGCGACGGTCTAGGAAACATCCCGGAGGATGATCCGAAGACATGCCATCACAATTTTGATCCTCTGCGGAGGAGATGGCACCCCCGCTTCGGTAGCCCGATGACCTGCGCGCGAAGTCGAGCACTTTACGGTAGCACAGTTTAACGAGGACCAATACCGCACACCCTCGGTCCCTACGCAGACTGATCCAAGTGGTCACCCGCCCGCACACTGACGGTAGCCAGTGATGCTTGACTTCGGTGATCTGCTGGGAAGTGTGTCTTAACGATCAGTCCACTGCGGGGCGTAAAAGATTTTAGAACCACCAATTTCTTATGTTGCTCAAATATTAAAGAACATTAACAACTGAAATAAATTTTCCTAGAATATACCCCCTCTATATCAATGAACACACATTCCTTTTGTTTTATCGCTGTCAAATTTTACGAAAATGACTTAAGGGTTCTTGTGTTTTGTCTTACAAATCAGAAGCTGAAGAAAGAGATATTCCGGGTAAAACGCTTAATGGTTTTATTTAAAAAAATAAATTAAAGAAACTAATTAATCTGTATTTGCTTTACATGAAAAGGAAAAAAAATATTAGCGTCCATTATAGTTGTTCCGATCGCATCTTAACACTAATTTATGATGTCTGCCGCTGAAAAATTACTAAATTGCAATTTCATTATGCATTTTATTAAAAAAAATATTTATTTTTAAAAATATTTATAATTGTATATTATTATATATATATTATTATATATATATTAATATTAATCTGTATAAAATACGGATTAATAATTATTATTTCTATTAAAAAATGTCAGTGCTATCATCGTCTCCATCACTACTGTCGTCTCAGAAAATTTTCTCCGAGGATGTTTTTCACACTTATAACTCAAACACTTTTGATGAAAAAATATAAAATTTGCCTCATTTTTAGAGAAATGAGCAAAGAAAAGCCTGTTATAAATATATAAAATATTGGTGTTTAAAGTTAGGAGACTTCTTATATTTCGCCGATAAATCAAGGACTGGTGAACCGAGTTTCTTAAAATTTGGTATGAAGATATTATGACATAATACAAGCGAACTAACATTTCAACAGTTATAATAAGCATTCATTATCGTGCATGACACTCATCAGAATCAAGAGATTCAAAACAGAGAATACTGATTTTAACAAAAAAGAAAAAGTTCAATAAAAGGTTTTGTCCCCTTTTTGTTTATTTTCATACACACTGTGATTTTATGTAAGAAACATTACAGTTTCTGTATTCCTGTATCAATTGGTTCCGCACATTCAACAATGTTGTTTTCAATACCAGGATAGTTTCTGAAAGGGATCTGTGATTTTCAAATAATCCCCCCAGAGCTACTTTACAAGATTCATGCCTGGATTAATCAATACCACAAAAGTCTTCACATTCCAGAAAATCAAAGATAAGATCTAACAAAATCGGAAATAAAGAGGTAAATTATATGTAGCTTTTTGAAAACACGTACTCTATCAACTCAAGGTAAAAAAAAATTCTTTATTTTTCTTAATTTCGAACTATATTTGATAATTTCGTTCAAATATTTATTCCCCTCGCCATTTTTTTCCTTGAAGATAACATGATAATATAGTCAACTTTCATAAAAAAATATTTGGGGTACTTTATTAAAGGACTCGACGTTATTATTTATGTGAATTAATATAGAGAGATTTTTAAAAATATATTTTTACGCTCTTCCTTTTTAGATGTGCCATCTACTTGGCCTCAGTGTATTTGGCAATATGTCCATTTCTTCGCTAGAGAAAATGAAGCTCAGCGTATTTTTTTTGGAGCGAATTTACTCCGTTGTTTTTCTTAATTAAAACAAGTTGCTAAATTTTTGGAATCAACTGAAATAAATTCTTATACTTTTAGCCGTTTTTAGTACATTACACGTTCTGCAACTCAAAAAATTGGTCGTTTTTAAAATGTACAGTGAGCCAAAAAAAAGATCCCTTTAAATAATTTTTGACTAAATGATCGGAGCTTCTCGTTCTATTACTCAACCTTAATGGTTCAAGGGTGCGACCTCAAATATGCTAATGAGTGCCGACGATATTTTAAGTTACAAAATGAGGCATAAAAACGTACCTTCGATTAAAAAATATACCTTTTCCTGACGTATTCGGATTTCTGACCCCTAAAATATAGGGGGTAGCTGCAATCTGGGAAATGTGGTCCCTATATTTTCGTCAGGAGAACGATCCAAAGTTTGGACCACTTAATGTTAATTTTACTTTTTGCATATTTCACCATGTATCGTGAACTTTTTAAGTGAATTTATAAATTTCAGCACAAAATTATAAAATTCGTTTATCCAAATATAATTCCGTGCAAAAAATTATTTTTAGTAAATATTTTCTTTTTATTATTTTATTTACTAATAGCAGAAAAAGTTTTGAATTGTAAGATATACAATTTTTTACATCATTTTAAAGTATATGTAATTTCAAATGACAAAATACAAAGTTTGAGCGGAATCGGTTGAATGATTCCTGAAAAATAGAATTTTAAAAAAGTCGTATATTTAAAATTGCATTTCTCAGAAACTATTCAACAGATCATTAGATCAAAAGTTATTCTGTGGGGTCCGTTTTTTTAGCGAATATCAGTTCATAAGCGAATTTCAGTTTACCGATTTGCAATTTTTAACTTTATGCTCAATTAGTTTGAAATTTTAATTTACAATTATTATTTTTTTTTTTGATTTGAGCAAGTAACCAACGTCATTACGATATTTCGATTTTTGAGTGATTGATGCGCGATGAGAAGGCACAGATCGAGTATTCATCTATGAAAAACTACATAAACAGTTTCGAAAGTTTTTCGAGCGATTAGCTCTCAAAATCCTCCAAACTACAAATTCGTGTAGAAAAATAAAATAATATTATAAAAACTAGATAAAACATAAGATTTAACTCCAAATCACAGTTTTTTGATGAAATAAGTATGGTAAAAGTGAGAAAAAAATTAAAATAAAAAAGTGAGTGAAATATAAATTAACTCTGTTTGCATCATATTTAAATTTTTCATTGTATTTTGAACTTACTTTTTATTTTACATAATTTAAAATTTTATCGAATTCCATTTTTTTTGCTGATTCAAATTCATAAATGAGTTTTGATAAAATATTTTTCTTTGATGAAAGATGAAATTTAAATATTCCCTGTATTACAAAATGTCAAATTTTATTTCGGTATCACAATTTTATCAGTATTCTCAATATTATTTTAATTTTCTAAGAACATTTTAGGTTAATATCTTAAATCATACTCATTTTTATCGTGTTTAATGTTTGTGGAAATTTGACCTTTGAAATTTTCTGTAATTAATTGTTCTAGTTTTAACGTCATGAGATTCTTATAGTTTTGCCCTTTAAAAATGTACTGAAAAAAATTACAGGAAGGGGAAAAATATTTTTACTTACTGTAATATTATTGGAGTATGCAATAAATAATAATAATAAAGAATTCAGATAAAGTAAGTGACGGTGTTAGTGGTATTAAAAGAGGTTTAATGCTTAGAAAGTAGAGACGGAAGTTTCGTGAAAAAGCGTATATCGCCTGTGGCATGATTGAGGAAATGAAGATCGCCAAGGCTGCCGCCAAAAAATCTATATATTATACCGACAATAAAAGCAATGGCCAACAGGTGATCGTGTTTAGTTGGTGGCTAGTCTAAAAGTTGATTAATTCAGGTAGGAACTATCAATATGGTTTTATGGGACCGTATTTAATAATTCTTGTTGTTATATTTACTATGTATTTAAGTAATTTTAACGTTGATTATTATTTTAAATAAAACTTGACTATTTTGTTTTAAGTTTTTTTAATGTTTCTAAGCTCCATTTTTTCGGATATTTTAATGAATGATATTTGAGACAAATGTTTAGTTTTCATGTTTAATTTTATAAATAATAAATTTTTCCGATTTTGAAACTGCTAATATGTTGATTTGGATAAGGTTTTAAAGAGTGCTGTTTATTTTATACTTGACATAATAAATTGCACAATTTTATTTCTTAAAATTGTTTCAAATCTTTCTAAGTGTTCAAGTTAATAAGAACTATTTACCGTAAATTAATGTCAATCATTGACACGTTCTTAATTTTGCAAGATTCAAATGTGCAATTTTTTTCAAATAACTCCTTTCATACAATAGATTAAAAATTTGTTCCTTAACAAAAATTTTTAAAAACATTCCTAGTTGCTCTTCTATTACTTTTATGCTCCTTTGCTCAAAATAAATTTTTTGTTAAAAATGTTTTCTAAAATTTTTATGCTGTATATTGAATTAACATTTTGCAGAAATTTTAACGAAAATTCATGTGTAGTCAGAATAATTTTTTGGTGAATAAGAAAAATTAAAATAAATCTGAATGCATTAACTGAAGCAGCTTTTAAAGTTTTTAAAATTCTCTAACGACTTCCTTTATAACATTCATAGCTAGATATATTAAACTTTTACGTAATCATTTGTTTATTATAATTTGGCTTACTATATTTAGATCAGGTAAGCGCTAAATTTGAACTTTCTTACTGAGAATCGGAACTACATTTGAGTTTTAATTGCTTATAAAAAAGTAAAACTGTGTGAATTCAATTAATTTTAAGCTAGTATTTTTATAAAGTTTTATGAATTACAACATTTTTAGATTTATACGAAAGGTTTAATTTGACACTTTATTTTCGAGCTACGTCAAAATAATTTTTTTTACTCTTGCTTTCAATCTTACAATTATAAAACATCGAAAGTTATAAACCTGCTAAATGTTGGAACATATTTTAATCCAGTCAATGGTTTAAAAAATATTTTGCACCGAAAGTATGCTTTGTGAGGATACTGACTGTCAGCTATACCGATTAATGTGCAAAGTGCGAAAATGTGAACTATGATTGACAATTTAAAAATAAAATATTTCGTGGTATTTTTTCCATTTGGGTGGAGCCAAAATTGTTTAATAATGAAAATTATTAAAAACTTTTATGCTGTTCCTGATGGCATAGTATTTTATCAGTGTAAAAAAATGTAAACTAGATATATCAATAGTAATAATTATATAAATTCGAACTGTCAGTGTTTGTCAAGAATAATAAATATAAAAATATGGCGTTAATGATAGAGCTAATTACTGTAATTCGATATGATCTTCAAATTACGATTAGATAAATCGCTTATCCCAGTACATGATACAATATTTTTTTTGTTATTTTGTACCTAACATTTATTTTCGTTAATTTACTTTCGGAAGGAAATCTAACTAAAAACGTCAGTTTTATTTATTTTTAACATATCACTTTGTGAACATAGTAAAGAAAGATTTTAAAGTAATTCATCCAATTTTATTAGTATTTGCATTTCCTTGGACGTAAAATGCTCCCAGGATTAAAATTTTTATAGAATTTGTTTTTCATTTCATTCAATTATGACTACAAGCAAAATTTCCTAGGCGTTATTAATTTATTCTTGTTTGATTGGAATTAAATATTTTAAAAATATTTACATAAATGTACCCAAAATTTAAAATCTTTTGAAAAGTTCTTAAAAAATCAATTTTTATCTCGTAACAATTTTTAAGTTGAAATTTTAATTTTTCGCTGAATCGAAAATGTATTCATCATGAATTTGAATGAAGTATTTTCACAAGTTTTATTCAATTGCAAACAGAATTCCGAGAACTTTATTCCTAATTTAGATTTTTGAAAATTCATGCTAAAGTAAGAATCTTAATTTTTCTGTCTCGGTTGCGGTCTTCTAACGTGTTAAGTAACGCTGTTCTTTCAATTGCTATTTCTGCTTAATGAGACTCTCATTAAGCTACCCATTGAAATGAAATTCTTTTGAACTCTAATTTCACTAGTTTAAAGTTCTTAAATTTTCAAATTTTGCTTTTTTTAAACTTGTTTTAAGGAATGAAATAAATGATTCAGCAACAAGTATCAATGAAGTTCACTAAAAGAGATTCATTTCAAAACGTCGGCAAAATTACTACAATAAGGAGATATTAAGTTTTTAATTTGTAACTGATTAGTTGCAATAAATTAATTTCTGAATTTTTAATTTATTTAACGAAAATTTATTCTTCATTTATATCAACTACGTTAGTTTACTAAATTTTTTTTAGAAAATTGTATAAAGTACTAAATAAAGATTAAAGCTAAATCAATTTGGTAATTTAAAACACACAAGAACTCTTAAATTATTGGTCGCTAAAAAGAAATAAATTTTAACTTAACAGGCTTTGAAGTATATTGAAAATAACGAAAGAAATTATACGAAACGGATCCGGCCAACTTTTGAAAACTGCCCATTTACGAGTTTCAACCAATAGAGATCTTCGAAAACCTCTTATACCCACATTTTGAAAATACTAGAATAGTATTCACCTTTAAATCCTGAATTAAAGTTTATTTCAAAATTATTAAACTCCGCTACAACGCACATTTAAATTAAAATTTAGCTTTTATTAGTAAAAACTATAAAACTTTCATTAAATATATGTGTCTAAGCAAAAATTACGGTCTGCAAAAGAAAAAAGAAAAATTACTACCTAATTATTACCTGTATAGTAAAAACAAAAATTTACTACTTCATGTTCAGAAAAAGCAATAATTACTGCCATCTGAAGTTTTCAATAATATTGTTTAAAAAATTAATGTAAATAGACTACAAGCCATCGATAAAAATTTAATGACTTTTAAACTATAAATTTAGTAAAAAATATAAAATGGAATGCTCAAAATATTGTTCCAGATGTTGCTTAGACAAGTCTGTGGACAGTCACTCCTATTTTCTAAATTCCCATGCTTGCAGTTAATAAATAAATATAAAATAATATCGATAAATAATTTCCATTTGAAAATGCTTTTAAAATACTTTAATGAAAAATGAATTAAAAATTTTAATTTATGAATAATTTCAAATTAAATGCCTTAACCTAGAATAATATATCACATCAATACAGACGCAAGGAAACTAATAAAATTTTGTAAATCACTGCAATGCCGAGTTCCTGAATATCTTCTCAGAAAACTATTATTTGAGCTATAATATAAGTGTATATTTCGTGTCTTGCTATGTTTAATTTTAAGCTTTTCAAATTCTAGTTTTAAATGCACGGGTGTCTTAGTTGTAGGAAATCTGTTTTGTCACGTCTGTCGATACAGTTTGCATAAGTGATACTGGATCAACTTTAGAATTATGGAATTCAAGCTTTAAATAGAGCTCTGGTGAACAATACAAGCTTTTATCATTTGTTATCCTCAAAGTAAATTTTGAGGGTATTTTTTTGCCTAATAGAATTTACTTCCTAACAGAATTTACTTTTAATCGAAGTTTTGACCACTCCAACAAATTTTAAACTGCAGCTCTGTGTTATGCAATAACGAGTTAAATATAACTAAATTTCATCGCCAATCTACGTTTTTACAAATTTCAAACCTAAACAAACTAAACTCTAAATCAATCAATAAAAAAATAAATAAAAATTAAATAAGTACTTTTTACAGGTAGATTAAAAAAGAAAGTAATTCGATTTTTGTCTCAGCTAAAAGGGGTTTTCGCTTTAGATGTGACAACAATTAAATTATTTCAAGTTCTTAAGATCATTTCGAAAGAAATGTAGCTTTAAAAATTATTTCTTTTAGCTATATATTTCAAAATTACTGTAATTTTCCTTCATTTATGCTCTTTAAATTAATAAATTATTGTGGACACGTTTTATGTTTAGATATCAACTCATTTGTGTATATGATCTGAAACACTGTGAGCTTTAGCTCAGATTTCTCTTAAGAATAGCAATAAAAATTCTAAGATTTTCTTAAATAAATTTAAGTAAGGAAATTACTAATTTTCCTAGTGTTGGTCCATAAGTTAAAGCAATCAGAATTACATAGCTTATAACATAGTTTAAAGTTTTACCAATTTGGCGAATCAATAGCTAAACTTGAATTTTTCTAGCATAATTAAATGACATCAAACATTTTTAAAACCAAGAAAAACGAAGGTTATTTTTTTTTTTTGATTAACTTTGTTATTTAAGCTTTGCTCACAAATATGATCTTTATATGGTTAGTTTATTTACAGGTTGTAGGTTTTGCAATAGTATTTTTAATATAGACTCTACATTCTGGAATTTATGTTTTGTAGACTAATTAAAACTCAGACAATGTAGCTAAAGGATATAAAAATGAAATTTTTTTTATTCAATATGACTAATTAAAATAGTTGCAAAGTTTGTAAAATTCGTCCTATTTAAATTTTTTGTGCAATTAACAGTATTTCTTTTACATCCATACCCCCTTTTGATTAAAAGGAAATAATTTCTTTCCTTGTGCAGATGAAAAAGTTTCAAAATAAAATCAATTTAAATAAGAACCGCAGAATGATTGCATAGTTTACAAACTATTTCAGCTGGTTGCTTTGATCTATGTAATTTGGAGCATTTGATTGCGAAACATTTTCATCAGCTTTATATGTAGATTAACAAAAATGTATCCTCGATTTCAGTCTTTCAGAGGAAGATTTTCGCTGCATTGCATTACTGAGTGGGGGGAAAAATGATGGGAATTGAAATATCGAAACAAAAAGTTTCGGTATATAAATTTCTTATATCTGTAAAATCCTTTAATTAGAACCTTCTGTTGTAGAATAAGCTTTTTTCGAATAATACTGTCTGCTTTATTTGACCAAAGTAAC